TTCCTGACACGCGGACACGACTCACATCCGAGCCGGAACCCTGACGCCCCGGACTACTCACCTCGATACATGGGAAACTCGCCGTCGCTGTGGCTGTGGCATAGCATGATGGGGCTGCGACAACGGGAGGCAGCCACCATGATGCCTGTCTTGTGGTGGCGATGCCCTCCAATGCTCAAATGGTTGCCACTGGACTGCTGCTGCTGCCGCCGCCGCTGCAGACGAGGATGCCGATGATGTGATGGTCGTCGATGTTGTGGGTAGTGTGGCAGCCGAGGAGGCAGCACTGCCGCCTGCTGCAGCTGCAGCTGCAGCACCAGCACCTGTGGAGGTGCACAGGGAATAGGAACGTGCCACATGGCTGAGGGTGCGACGTCGAATGGTTGCCGCATTGCCTGTTGACACGGATGTGGATGCTGTGGCGGATGAGGGAGTCGAGCGATAATGATGCTGCGGTGTCGAGTACTGACAATGGCGGGCGGTGGGCGTGGCTGTGGAATTCTGTTGCTGTTGCTGTTGCTGCTGGTGCTGGTGCTGCTGGTGTTGCAACAATTGCATCTGCAACTGCTGATAGGCCACTGGGGCGCCACCTAACGACAGGTGATGCTGCAACGGCGGATGATGCGACTGATGCGGATGGGAGTGCTGCTGTTGCTTTTGCTGCTGCTGCTGCTGCGAATGATGTGAATGCTGCGGCAGCTGTTGCCCCTGCTGCTGTTGCAACGGCGTTTGAAAGGGAGGATGTGAGTGCTGATGTTGCAGCAACTGTCGCTGCTGTTGCTGTTGCTGGTGCACGGCAGCCATTTGAAATTGCTGCTGCAGCTGCTGCAACAGATCATGCTGCAGCTGCTCATTGCTTTTGCCTGGCCCCGTGGCAACATTATCGCTGCCATTGCCACTGCCATTGCCACTGCCACTGCCACTGCCACTCGATGGTACTGCGCTCTGGCTCTGGGTCTGCTTCTCCCAGGGTCCGTTGCTGTCGCCGCTATAATCCAGCTTGAGGTTCAACTGTTCTGTGCGACGAATGAGACCAGTATACGTCAATTTCCACTCAACTCATTTGGCATTCCGCGTGCCAAGGACGCGACAATCACAATGTGTGGGGGTAGGGCACGCGGCTGGGCGACTGCGTGGCGTTTCAATTAAGCCATCTCGCACGTCTTTGGGCCAAATTGGCCCCAGCAATTGAGAAGAAGCGTCGCGGGACGTAGCACTGTTTTGGGGTGTCCAGGCAGGGTCCTGGTCCTTGGTCCTTGGTCCTTGGTCCAACCAGCTGATGGCACCAGCACAAAACGGATGCTCTTATTTATAGAAAAGCGGCAGAGGAGGGGAAAACCACGGCGTATGTGTGTCAGAGCCAGGGGACCTACTTCCCACCGAACGAACGGAGAGGCCTTAATCAACGCGAAGCGAACACGAACGGAACGGTATATCGGCCGTGAGGGGGGTGGGCAGAGCAAATCTCTCACTCACTCGCTCAGTCACTCTCTCTCTTTGTCCAGTGGAGAGTGTAAGTACCGCTTGAACCGACCAGAGACGTTAAGCTAAAGTACGACGACTGATTGCACGGAGCTTTGTTATCCTGTGAAAAAGCTATCGTCCGTGTAGCCTGACGCTGCCTGCTGCTGCTGCCAAAAGCGCAATCAACTGCGAGAGCGAGAGCGAGCGCGAGAGAGAGCCAGAGTTGCCCAGAGACACAGAGAGAGAGAGAAAGCACAGATAACGGTTCCAGCCACACTGGGAGAGAGAGCGAGTGGTTGGGAGGGCGGAGTGGGGAATGCAGCTTCTTCTGTTTATACTTGCATCCCATCAGAAGCGTATGTTTGCCACTCCGCTCGCCCTCCACATGCCCCACTCACGCAGTTCTGTTTACCATAAAAGTAACGACAACAACAGAAACAACACAGTTAGGTTAGAGTTAGAGAACAGCAAACACGATGCAAGGAGAGGGGAGAGAGCATGAGCGGTGGGCGGTGGGTTAGAGAGAGAGAGAGAGAGAGAGTGAGGCGGCACGGCAGCAATGAAAACTTTGGCACAGTTTAACATCAGTGCACATTGGGGGGGGGGACACATTGGTGAGTTTGTGGAAAATCATGCATGTGTAGATTTTTTGATAGAGTTTTGCTGGTATGAAAATATACATTAATACATAATATATATAAATATATATATATATATATATAAATATAATATAATATAATATAATATAATATAATATAATATAATATAATATAATATAATATAATATAATATAATATAATATAATATAATATAATATAATATAATATAATATAATATAATATAATATAATATAATATAATATAATATAATATAATATAAATATATATATAGATCAACAGCTACTTTTCTACACATCATAAATACAAGCAGAAATAATATTGTTAATAGCTAACTAAACTAAAAAAAATCTGTATTCAATATACATGCATACATACATATGTATGTATGTACATACATATTTTCATATTTCAATTCCAAACAAATAGCTGCCAATTAAAAACCACAAAAAATCGGAATTTGTGTGGCTAAAAAACATTTGCGAAGCCCATTCATGACTAAAGAATTTCTGCACAAATATTTCCAGTGGTTTTCCGACGATATTCAAACTAAATGCTGATTCATACAAGCTTCTAGTAAATTCCAATGCATTCCAGAATTCTTTGAAATAGATAACAAATAATGATAAGGGGTTCATCACACCAATAAGCGAGAAAATTAAATATACCTGCATATATGTATGTATGTACATACATACTGGCATATAAATAATAAATGTCATTCTTGAGTCATTTTAAGCATTTTCTTGCGATAAGATAATTATTTAATAACGCACCTAAAAAAGGCTTACATGTTGATCAATCTTTTATTGATTCCCCAAATTAAAATCGGGTAATAACCTGTTTTGGAAACAGTAAAAACAAGTGAAATCTAATCAGTTTTTATACCCGTACTCAAAAAGTGTACTACAAGTGTATTTCAAAATTTCGCCCCGGCCCCTTCCGCCCACACAAAGAACGAAAATCTGTGGCAGGCACATTTTTAAAGATACGATAAAACTAAAAACGCAGTATCGTAGGAAATGCCCATATCTACGAGATTGCCGAATCTGAATTAGATCGGATCATAATTATAGCCGGAATGAAGAAATTAATTTTCAGTTGCTTCCCCTGCCCCATCCTGCCAACGACAACGCAACTCATTTTCCTTCTCGCTCGCACACTCTGCCGCGTTCAGTGCGCGAGCAACCCCTAGCGGAGGGTGTAGTTTGGACGAATCCAGATGTAGAATATTCATAATATATGTAGATGTAGATAACAGATGTAGCAAAAAAATGTAAAATGTAAAATTTTTTTTTTTAATTCTAAAATACTAAAATTCTAAAAAATCATATGCTAAAAAATGTATATACTGACTGAGTACGGGTATAAGTAGAATCGCGTCCCCAGAAGCGACTCGCACGTTCCTTCTCGTTTATTATTGATTATTATGAGTAGCTTAAGTCGTTTTCCTAGCCCACTGTGCCCTTGATATGCATGCATGGCCCACTGACGCCCACAGCTCTGAGGTTCATTCACCCAACCATCGGGATTGTGGGCGATGGCAAGGGGGGCAAACAGCTGCTCCTGGGGGCCGCGGACGAGCACGAGGACCCACCCGTTCAAGAGCAGCCAGTAGCTCAGCAGGCTACACAAGCTTTTACTCGCGAGAGCTTTACAGGAGACGCAAGCAGCAATGTTTAAAAATAAAATTGTGAAGCTGTCAGCTAGAGATGGAGCTCGACAGAAAGAGAGGCGGAATGGAGAGAGAGGGAGAGTGACAGGGAGTGGGAGCGATAGAGTGAGAGCCAACCCAAAGGAATATGCAGGCTTTTCCCCTTTTTTTTTTGTTGTTGTTGTTGTTGTTGTTATAATTTATTTATGCATTTGTCACTGTTTTTCGTTATTTTGATAAAGTTGTAGCAGGATAATTGCGACAGGACCCAAGGGAAAGCCCCCCCCAAAAAACATACGCTGGTGGCACGGAGAGAAGTGCAGTGGGGGGGACATTTCCCAGTGAGGCTGTTTTCCCCTGATTCTGCTTTTATTTTTATTATTTCAGTGATAAGGTCGCCCGAGAAAGTCGATATCGTAATATAAACACGTAATAGGAGCCCAGCACTGAGCAGCAAGTGTCGCTGCTGCCGACGCCAACGAGAGAGAAATTCACAAGGTTGTGGATGCTATCCCCCAACCGAAAAAAGGGGAAGTTTCGTTGGGGGTTCGGCGTTCAAAAATGGGGTTCCTCTGGATGTTGGTTGTCGTGATGTTCGCGTGGGTTTTGTGGATTTTGCGTGCGCATAAAAAAATTGAATCGTGGTGTGGGGTGTGGTATGTGGGATGTGGGATGTGCTGGTGGCTCCTCTGACTGTGTGTTTTGGCTGCTGGAGCCGCTTGTTACACATTCTGCACTTCTGTGGTTAAGGGCCGACTCGTTTAGGGGCGTGTACCCCTCTCTCACACTCAATTCAGGCACAACTCTCATTCAGCATAAATGAGGTAAGTATATGGTGGGGTATATATAGGGTAGAGTATGATGTATTTTTACACTTACCTAAATTATCACGATCGTAGAAATAATTGCTGGCACTGCTCTTAATGCTGAGGCAGTCCAATGGCATTGGTGTTGGCGTTGGCTCAAATATATTATAGGAATCACATGATTCAGCCGATGGCGTTGTGGGCTCCACAACTGAACGACAAATGCAAAAAGAAAAGAACACAAAAACATGCAGGCGGTAAAGATATAAAGTGCAAAACAATAACATAATTTTTTAAAGGTGATTATTAAAATAAAAAAAATAAAAAAAAAAATTATAAAACAGGATTTTTTTTTAACCATGGAAACTTGTATGTTTTTCTTTATTGTTAAGGCGAGTTTTATAGCCTTCTTACAGTGTTAAATTATTTCTTATTTTATTCTTTTTATGCATATTTTAGTATAAACAAAAATAAATATATATTCGTTACACATTGTTATGGTTCCTACATAACCCCAGAATTCTTTCCACATAACATTTATTTTTTTAATTTCAATATAAACCCAAAAAAATTACCTTCACGGATATACACGAAAGATCCCTAATCACTAAATTCCAGCCATTTTACGACGACTTAAAGTATTTTTAACATAGTCATTCAGACTACTATTAACCTTGCCCAACGTATTCAATTGTGCGCGATTGAGATACCGAAATATGTGAGGGTAGATATCCTCGGGCAAGCCCACGAGAGAGGGCTGCAGCTGCTGACTGATCTGCATGAGCTGCTGGGTGCGCATCGGATGGAAGATGTTCTGCTTCAGCTCATAGGACAGATTGTCCAGCTTACGAAAGCGATTGAATATCGGTTTTCCCTTCGCCTGAATGTTGAGGACATAGCGTCCGATGGTTAGAGCTATGCTATAGCCCGGCAGCTTTGAGGACACCGGGGGACTGAGGCTAACCATCAGCTCATCGCCGAGATGCACGGCCCTAAGGCGGGACTGCATGACTGCAATCAGGACGGCCTCCTCCGCTTCATGCTTGTCATGCAGCGTGCGCAAATTGAAGGTGAAGACGGTGTCATTGAATCCAATCGAATAGTGGGGCGGCTCGAGGCTTAGAAGCCGCACATTGCCGGCATGAAAACTGCTGAAGGCGGGCACCGGCTGAAGCTTGTGTCGATTCTGGCTGTAGGTCTCAACCTCCACAAAGCCGCTCTCCATGGCCACCAAGTAGACGAGCAGCGTCAGCAGTTCGGCGGGCGGGATTTTGCGATCTGCGCCGGCGCATTGGTCCAGCAGTTGGCTCATATACAGCGGCACAGCTTCCGGTGTGGCATTTTCGACATTAAGAGGCGGCTCTGTGTTCTCCAGCGGATGACGTCGCTTGATCCCAGCCGCTGTAACGAGGGGTTCAATAAGAACTTCGGTCTGATTGGTGTTTTTTTTTTGGGTATGTGGCATGTGTTATTTCTGGGTGCTCTCTATGAGATATACAAAGATTAGTTAGTTGCGTGATTGTGTTTTTTGTTGTTTGGTTTTGGTACTTAAGTGAGGAAAATTACAAGTAGAAACTAACCTGTGTTGAAAATTACCGTTGCTATCAATCCACGCATGTATTGACGCACATATGTATATTTACATGTATGAGTGAGAGACGTGTCCAAACAACGTCTTCTTATCTTCTTTTTACCTTTTGTTTTCTTTCTTTGGTGTTTGGCAATTTGTATTTGAACAGAAAAAAGGTAGCCGTTGCGTTCGTTCATTTGCAATGTTTATTTCTGACTGAGAAGTTCTGCTCGCAGTAGAGGTGGAAAAACATCGATGCTACTGTCGATGCATCGATGTTTTTAAAATTTTTATAAGCATCGATATTTTTGATCGAAACATCGATGTTTTGTTTTTATTTTTTTGTCGTCTCTATGAAAGAAAAACCTAACGAGAGCAGAAGATCAAGCTCAAATGGTTACATTTTTAGATAAATACAGACGGCATAATGCCATTTAAAGCTGTAGCCCAAAAATATTTGTGCGTCCCGGCAACATCTTACGGGGTAACGACATATCTCCGGGCGACATATCTCCTGCCATACATTTTTCCCTTAGCGGAGGAGATGTAGAATATAAATGGTACATCTATAATCTACATGTTAGATGTAAAATATACATTGTAAATGTAGATAGCAGATGTAGCAAAAAATATGTACAATTTCTTTTAAAATTCTAAAATTCTAAAAAATCCTATGCTCAAAAATGTATATACTGACTGAGTACGGGTATAAGCAGAGTCGCGTCCTAAGAAGCGACTCACACGTTCCTTCTCATTTTATTTATATATATTTGTGAATGGATTTAAGAACTGATATAAAACTGTTATTTTGTATAATTTTAATCATATCTTTGCAGTTTCCTATGTATTTTTTTTTGATATTTTTGTATCTTGGAAAACATTGATTTTCACCAGTTTGCAGACTGGAGAGCGTGCGATTTATTCTCGCTCTAGCAGCAGCATTGAATTTGTTTGTCAACCAAATGGATGTGTGCACGGCATACCTCAACAGTGACCTGAGTGATACGGTGCACATGAAGCAACCGCAAGGGCACATTGAACGATCTTATCCAACTAAGGCTTTGTTGCTTAAAAAGGCAATATATGGATTGAAGCAATCAGGAAGGGAATGGAATGCTAAACTAAATGGCGTCTTTATTAAATTGGGATTTGTTGCCTGCGATAATGAGCCTTGTCTCTACCAGCAAATAGGGAAAGGTAACCTATCGTTAATCCTGGTATATGTTGACGATTTACTTATAGCATTCCAATTAAAAGAAGACTTGCTCAGTATTAAATCGGCTATTTCCAATTCGTTCGAATGCGTTGACCGTGAAGGTGAGCTTGGGCCTATCACCATAGGACATTCGCAATATATCAAAGAACTATTGCAAGCTCACGGCATGGAGAAATGTAGACCAGTGGCTACTCCGTTGGATGCGGGTTTCCAGGTAGATTGTACTGATGGGCAGTGTCAAAGAGTTGATCCTGTCAAGTATCAATCCATGATTGGTGAGCTGATGTGGCTGGCAGTCACAACCAGACCAGACATTTTGCATTTCGTTGCAAAGTTGGCTCAGAGAAACCAAGATCCGCACGCTGAGCATCTGGCTGGCTTTCAAATTACACTACAATGAGTGTCATCAGCCACTGACTGGATATGTGGATGCGGATTGGGGCGGAGACCGAACTAACCGGAAGTCCTATACGGGCTACGTTTATTTTTTGGCAGGTGGTCCAATTTCTTGGCGATCCGAGAAACAACGAAGCGTGGCACTTAGCAGCACGGAAGCAGAATACATGGCACTGTCGGCTGCGTGTAAGGAATCGATATTCTTACGGCGCTTGATTGTCGAAATCGGTTGTAGAGATAAAACTACAGCAACTACCCTGTATGGCGATAATCTGAGCGCGCTGAGGAGCTAGCTAAGAACCCAGTTCATCTATCAAGGACCAAGCATATTGATATCAGATACCATTTCGTTCGTCAGGTTTTAGAAGAGGGTCAAGTTAACTTAAAGTATGCTAGTACAAACGATATGATTGCTGATGTCTTGACCAAGAATCATCTCCCTAAGAGAAAGCATGTTGAATTTACTAAAATGTTAAGTTTAAATTGAATTAAATGAATTTGTAAGCATGCTCGCATTGAGAAAGGGTGTTGAAAATTGCCATTGCTATCAATGCACGCATATATTGACACACATACATATGTATATTTACATCGAAGCAACGTCTTCTTATCTTCTTTTTACTTTTTGTTTTCTTTCTTTGGTTTCCATCTGCCTGCGAGCAGAACCTCTCTGTCAGTCACAAATAAACATTGCAAATGAACGAACGCAACGGCTACATTTTTTCTGTTCAAATATAAATTTCCACGGCATTGGGTCAGTGCGGGATGGATGTGGGAGATAAATACAAACAGCATAACTCAAAAGTTTAGTCACTACATACGAAAAATACACACAGAAAACGAAAACCAGGTCGAATTCGCGGTCGAATATGTTACGAATATACGAATCCAGTGGTTACTATACAACTACGAAACGGTGGAATTAGTTATACGACATACACATTTATCATAAAATTAAACACTAAAATTATAATTATTCCTACTAGGGGAATGCGCGAGGTGAGTGCAGAGTAGCTACAACTTATAGAGGTACAAATTAGAACAAACAACAGGTATGAAATACCCACCTTTTTCTGGTTGTTGTCGCTGCTGATGCTGTTGCTGCTGCTGATGCCGCTGTTGCTGCTGTGTCCCAGATGTTGAGGGCCCGTCTGTGGTTTTGGGTTCTGTTTTAATTTCGGACATTTTACTGTTTACGTATGAATTTGGCTTCTTCGATTCTGACTCGTGGGAATGTTATTTTTTATTTTATTTGGCATGACAATCAAAATCAGAATTCTACGTTCTTATACATATATACATATGTACGTATGAACGGCAAAGGTGTTTCACGTAATTCCCAGGTCATAAATTATATGCAGAGCGTATGCAACAAGCCTTTCCTTCCAAATAAGAATGATCACAAGTTTTTGACACGGCTGCATTTATTATAGATTGTCTGTTGTTCTATCCGTGCATTGTCACCCACGAATTGCATTTGTTCTTTTTACACATATTCCAGAAGATGTTATATACAACGAAATACGTGCATTATTGATCTCTCTAGCATTGTTTACATATTCGCCTGCTTAGCGCCAATTCCTTCGTGAAATGTTTCAGTTTTATTAATTTTAATAGATGATTTTGCAAATCAGCGGACCACAGCTGATAACTAGTGCTGTAAAATCCATTTAACAGAGCTGTGCTGGTTAACGGCACACGTGTTTTTTGCAAAATATAGCTAGATTTATTTTTTTATATAGAAACCACCATATGAAACATGTATATGTATAACAGATTGCAGAATTTGAATCACTCCGTATAATTATAAATTAATGGAAAAAACCCACACTGAACCAAATAAAAACCACTTGACTGTCCCATCCCGCTAACTGCTGTTGTGAAAAAAGCTAGATGTGACGCAGAAGACGCTCGTTTGGTAACACTGCTTGCCGGCTAAAATGTTTTGTTGACGACCAAAAATAATAATGACAAGCAACGAGGAAAATGAATTGTACATGGTTAAGCAGGCGCAGAGCCTGCGAAAGAGCGATCCGGATGCGGCGCAGGCCTGGATCATGACGGCCAAGATGTTGTACCCCAGTGCATTCAATGTGCAATACGAGTCGTACCTTTTTGAGCGCGATGGCAAGAACTACGAGGAGGCGGCCAAGTGCTTTAGTGTCATGTGAGTAAATAGGCTGAAATTAATAGGCTAAATAGGCTAACTAGATGAATACCCTTTGCAGAGCCACCAAATTTCCAAATCGGCATACAGAGCTGTGGCAGGAGATAAACGCCCTGACCACTGCGCTGAGGAACGAGAATGAGAGCACGCCGGAGCAGGAGTTCTTTGTGAAGATGTACAAACATTTAACGCCCGATGTGCAGCACAACATTTTCATGCACACCATCAACCACTGCGGCGATGACTTGGAGCAGTGCATCTGCATTTACATACTGATGTTCAAGAAATTCCCCAAGTCGGTGACAACGCATGCCCCGCGTCTGCTCGAGCTGCTGGCGGAGGGCATGACAACGGACCCGGATGTGTATCAGCGCATACTGGTGGAGGATGTGCTGCCGATGATACAGCACAAGCCGCCAGAGCTGGCGCCAGTGCTGGCCTGCAGGCTCTATACCAACTCTCTGGAGTATTATCTGCGGCAGATAATGGATTCGGAAACGGAACCTGCGGACCCCTGGAAGACCATATTCAAAGTCCTGATGCTCTGCGGCCAGATGATGGGCTGGGAACCATTTCTGCCCTTCAGCAAGCAGTGCAGCCAGAACGTGTACTGGGAGAAACTGGTGGACATTCTGTCCGCCAGTCCACCGGGCAGTTCGAAGGTCCTCTTCTATGCCACCACCCTGTTCATCTACTCGCTGTATGGCTACATACGCAACTGCAGGCTGCGCATTGATGATTCGGACGTCAGTCATGTGCTGGTCGAAGGCTTCATTGATGGCTCTGAGGATCAGAGCATGGAGCCGCCCAAATTCTCGCTGACAACGCCCATCAGTCCGGATCTGTCGAATGCCTTTCTGCACGCGGCCCAGTGCTGGCAGCTGCTGAACACCGATCAGTTTCAGCGGGATTTTAGCCAGTTGATGGTGGCCCTGCCGCTGGCTCCATGGATATCGCGATTTCTCTTCGATCTGGCCATTTACTTTGGCCATCGGGACGAGGCCAACAAGCTGATGGGGGAAATGACTACCCAGAGCAGTTTGGTGCAGAGCCTGCAGATCCTCAGTCTCAATCTGATGCAGGGCAGCATGACTGTGAGTAGATCCGTGTACCTCCTCATACGCAAATCCTTCTCACGATTATCTTCCTCTCCTTTAGCTGCAGGGCTTTCAGTGCATACTGAAGGTCATTGGCGAACTGCCCGCCACAAATGGCCATCTGTTGGAGAACATGACGCTCAAGGGTCATCGTCACATGGTCTTTCTGCCACTGACTCGCGCCGCCCTCGTTCAGTATTGCACGGGAGCCATCGTTAGTCGCATCAGTCGACAGGTTTTTGAGCCCAATTGTTCGGATCGTCTGCTTGGTGATCTCCTGGTGCTGCAGCAGTTGAATCTCCTCAACGACACGCGCCTCACCCAGCAGATCTTCAGTGTGATCAAGCAGCGTAAGTCATTCAATCTGCGTACTCTTTCCACCTACATCATATCCATCGATTTGATCGAGGAGCTCTCGCACATATGGAACTCGCAGCTGGACGACTCTAATTTCGAGCTAACCGGTTCACCCACAGGTGTATCAAGCGGTGGCACGGCCAGCGTTCCGCCTCGTCGCATTGGTACTCGGGGTGCGGACAAGGGTGCCAGGGATGAGTTTAAGACCATCACAAGGCAACAGATTGCACGCTGCAATGAGAATATTATCACATTGCTGGCAAATTTTATCACCCAGGAGCAGCTAATGCTGGCCCAACACATCTTTGGCATCCCGCCCGTGGAGACCATCGAGATCAAGTGATTAGGACTAATAAGGGAATATATTTTAAGTTTACTCTTTATTTTTTTTTAATACTTATAGCCTCTTTATTTTCTATTCAACAAGTGTGGTGCACAAATAGTTATACAACGTCGTCGTAGACTTAAGAATTTAGTGGATTCGTTTATCAATATCACAAAAAGTACCAAGGTGATTAGCGCGCTGTCTTTGCTGTGGTTTTGTCCGTTTCTGACTTTGTTGGGCCTTCTGGCGGTGCTGTTGCCGTCGGCGCTCTTAATACCTCGCTGCGTGATTCAACGAACGACGGTTGTGTTTCCTGCTCCAGGGGCAAATGTATGCCAAAGTCATGCTTCATGTAGGACATTAGCACATTGTAGACGGCCGTGTAGATGTTTACGAACGTAACGCGATATTTGGTGTCCAGATAACGAAAGTTGAGATACTGTGCCGCCGGCCAGGTCATCCAGTCCATCAGATAGATGTAGGGAAATTTCCCAACCAGTTCCGTGTTTGTCGACTCGAGCGTTTGGCCCTCCAAATAGCAAATGGAGTAGAAGAATATCAGAATGCAGGCGGGCGACATGACCAGCTGATCGATGAGTATCTTCTTGGCAATGTTTTTCATCGTTATGGCCGGCATAATGCGATCCATCCAGTTGTAGACGTAGTGGTGCATCGGTCCCTGCAGTGCGCCGGCCACAAACATGCGCTTCATGCGCTCCGTATCGTAGCGATCGTGTCGCCGCAGTCCCCTGCGATACTCGTACTCCTGGGCAATCACATCGCCCACGACCATGAGCAGGCCGGAGCCCAGCACATTTGTGACCAGCAGATACTTGCCGAACATGTTGCTCCACGCCAGCTTCGTCCAGCGATGGAGGAGCAGTGTCAGGGGCGCGCCCGTCTTGCCGCTGATCATACGCCGGCCACATGCTCTTCCAGCGATTACATCAGCAGGTGCTCGTGCACGGACTACTCTGGAGAGGGCTGTAAAGGAACGCTGTTGGGCGGCAGGTACATCGATTTGTTTGGCCAGCGGACGCAGCTGATTCTGGCCACCGGGCAGCAGTCGCAGACAGCGGATGGTCAACATTCTGCACTGCACTGCCAACAGGCGGACAGGCAGACAATTCAAAATTAACGCTCGTCTCCCTACCGTATTCCGTTCCACTTTGTGTATTGTATTTTTCTCTTTTTTCCATTTATTTTACGTTACGTTATAATTTTGAAGGGTTGTTTTGAAATACAAATCGATGTGTGAACGGGCAATCGCTGTACAGTGGCGGCGAAAAAAACAGGCACTGTTACAACTGGAGTAATATATTTTTGTAATTATTTGAAATCACTATTGGCGCCTTAATGTCCGGCTTTATGTTTTAATTTTAGGTTTAAAAACGTGTATTAAAGACAATTTATAAAAATAAATAAAAAAACCATTAATGATACCCATCGCCTTAGCTGTACGTTTTAGTCAGATTTATCTTTTATTTTAGGATTTTGCTTGCTCGCGCCCACATCGTGTTTTATATAGGAGAGCAAGACAATGTACATGCAGTTGGTCACGTTTATGAAGATCACACGATGCCTGGGATTCAGAAACCGAAAATTCAGATACTGTACGGATGGCCAGATCATACAGTCAAGCATCCAGGTGTAAAAGAATTTCTCGCCAATTTCTGAATTTGAATCCTTGATGGTTTTGCCCTCCAGCAGGCTGGACACATAGAAGAACAGAAAGATATAGGTGGGCGACATGAACAGCTGATCGAAAAAGATCTTTTTCACGGCAGTAATGCGGCTTGAGTCCGGCAGGTATCGATCTAAGCGACTGTAGAATGCATGCTGCACGGGGCCCACAACCAAACCCGTTACGAACATGCATCCCGAACGGTTATAGTCGAATAATTTCTTATGACGAGCTCTTTCATATTGTTGTGTAACAGCATCGCCGGCCACCAGCAAGAGTCCCGACCCCACAATATTTGTAATGGCCAAATATTTGCCAAACATTTTCGCCAAAATATTGTCAGGGGGCTTTCCCCGATTATAATTTCGGGGAATACTTGTTGCCAATACAGTGGCGGGCGGTTTGCACGACAGACGTGAAACGGTGATTCGCCGCATCGGCCACATAACAGCTGTATCGATTTATCGGTTCACTGCAGCCCTGCACAGCCCTGCGTCGGCGTCGCTCTCCACAATTTTGCTTTGCTCTTCTGTTCGCGTTATTTTTAGGCCGCCAAAAACAGTTTCTTTCGTTTTCGTCGCTAAAATAGACAAAAAATTGTGGCTGTAAACGACTGTGTAGCGCCTTTTAAAACATATATACACGCACCTCGTCGTCACTGCCGGCCTCGCCACTGACGGTGGACGCTTTTAAGGTTAGGTTCGATTGCCGCAAAAAACAAATGTTCAAAATATAATTTGTAAATGTGGTACGGCCAACGTTCATTATTCATTTCAGTTGACAGCAACAGCAAGGCAGCTGTACTAAAACTAGCCCTACGACTAGCACACGCGCTCGCGACTCGCACGCAGTGTGGTGCGCACACCCCCCGCAGCGATGAATCTGCTGTACGTATTTGGCCTGATTCTGGCCGTTCGCTTGGCTTCCGTTTTCGTGGTGAAGACCTACTACGTGCCCGACGAGTACTGGCAGAGCCTGGAAGTGGCCCACAAACTGACCTTTGGGTAGGTGACAACGACAGACCCGACCCAGCCCACTCAGGATCATCTGCTAAGAAATCTTTTCCTTTATTTTCAGATATGGCTACCTGACATGGGAGTGGGTCCAGGGTATACGCAGCTATGTGTATCCCCTGCTGATTGCCGGACTGTACAAAGTGCTTGCCGCTGCTACATCTGGACAGCGTTCAGTTGCTGGTGCTGCTGCCGCGCATCCTTCAGGCCACATTGACGGCCTACTCCGACTATCGCTTCTATGTGTGGACGGGCAAGCGTAAGTGGGCCTTGTTTCTGATCTTGGTGCCTTGGTTCTGGTTCTACACGGGCTCGCGCACCCTGGCCAACACCTTGGAGGCATCGCTGACTACGATTGCCTTGAGTTACTTCCCCTGGTATGGCGAGGGAACGGCATATTTGTGGCCCGCTGCCATCAGTTGCTTCCTGCGTCCCACGGCTGCTGTTATCTGGTTGCCCCTGTCCATTTATCATCTTCGCAAGAGCCGCCAGTCTGTGGTGGAGCTGATTCTGAAGCGTTTCTTGCTCATCGGGTGAGTGGGTAGACGCGACTTTGGCCATGGATTCGTTACTAATTCATTGGGTTTTCTTTCAGTTTACTTGTTGCCGGCTTGGGCATTGCCATCGACACGTACTGGCACGGCAAGCTGATTGTGACGCCGTACGAGTTCCTCAAGTACAACATCTTCAACAACATTGGCAGCTTCTATGGTTCGCATCCGTGGCATTGGTACTTCACCGTCGGCCTGCCCACAGTGCTGGGCATCAACACGCTGCCGTTCATATACGGAATCATGGAGACGGTTCGCAAATCGGAAAAGTACGAGATTAGCAAGCAACTGCTGATTACCATTTTGCTCACTTTGTGCGTGCTGAGTACCGTGGAGCATAAGGAGTTCCGCTTTGTGTCTCCGCTGCTGCCCCTGTGCCTGTATGTGAGTGTCGATGCCCTGTCCCGCTGGAGTTATCGTGCTTCATCGACAATGCTATGGTGCACGGCATTTGTGATTCTGCTGGGAAATGTGCTGCCCGCCTGGTACTTGAGCACGGTGCACCAGAAGGGACCCATCGACCTGATGCCCAAACTGAGGGACATTGCCCAGGAATATCGCGATGAGCGTGAGCAGCGGGCCAACATACTCTTCCTGATGCCATGCCATTCGACACCGTTTTACAGGTGAGTGATCTTTGGATATCTTTCAGCTGTCCCAAGCTAACCTTTTGCCTGTTTCCTGTAATCCAGTCACATCCACGAGAATGTCACCATGCGCTTCCTGACCTGCGAGCCGAATCTGAAGAATCAGGAGAACTTCCAGGATGAAGCAGATCGCTTTTATGAGTCGCCCAATCACTGGCTAAACTCTCACATACCGATCCATCCACGCACTGCACTGCCCACGCATGTGGTGCTGTTCGATTCGCTGACTGAGAAGATTGGCGACTTTCTGGCCAACTACAAGCTGCTGCACAGCATCGAGCATGCAGAGGTAATCCAAATGGACGAGTCCCAGGCCCTGTTGAACGATTGGTCCAATGCCCTGGGCGCCCAGCCACCTAATCTTGCCTCTCTATTGCAGCATCGCCAGTTGCGCACTGGACGGGCCATTCAGGTCTATCAGCGTCTGCTGAAGGGCGAAGAGAATGCGTTTAATCGTGACCAGCTCCCGTCCGAGCAGGACATTGAGTCGCTGATCTCCGATGAGCGTTTTAATTAAGTACATAGTTTATGAACAAGACCCACGAAAGAGACTGGCAACAAAACTAACAAACCATAGCCCTCCGTTCAAAAGCAAGATAATGAAGAGAAGGGAAGAGAAGAGAAGATTACTTTGATACAAAACGTATGTATATTTTGTACCCATTTTTGGCCTTAGGAAAGTTTTTAAAAACATTGACGAGATGAGACGATAAAACTTTGATATTTTTAGAGATTAAATACGCGGTTTACGTAGTTTATGTTTAAGCCAACGTATAAGTTAGCCACCGTTAGGTCTAAAGTGAGGCAATATATATTTAAACTGTCCTTTGCTTTAATTTCTCAAAAATAAAGGTTCAGTGTCACGGCAAAATGTCGCCCACCCCACATTAAATGACGGACAACAAACATTCGCAGCGTATACTATACTTGGGCTGTTATCTAATTTGTTTGAACTTAAACGCACCACTTTTTATTGAAAGTGTGACCGCGCAGGGCCAGGTTCGGAAATACCGAAATTCGGGGAAAATAGCGCGTGTTTTCGTAAATGAAAGAAGTTTCATTATTTCATTTCAATAGTTTCATTATTTCATTGATACCGATAACTGCGTTTCATTATTAAATCGATCGTTTGATGTGCGAGACAATCGGAAAGTGGCAACGCTGTTGTAGGCGGGCACTGGGCTGCCAGATCGCAGCTAGCTGTTACAGTGGAACAACAGCCGCGCCGCCTCTGCTCTGCTCGCATTAATTAAACGCGTTTAAAACCATTTGCAGGCAGTTTGCACAGCTTTTATCGCACAACCGCAACACACAGATAAAATGGCTGCATCGATGAGAGCGCTGCTGAAAGTGCGAGGTAAGAATCCGAGACAAACAAACTATTGCGAAACATAGTCAGCGGCCGCAGCAGAACCCCGCATAAATTATATAACTTCGATGAATTTATGGGGTTCGAAAAGGGAATCCAAGAATACAAGTAGCAGCATATTACAGGTGCCTGTATGCCTGCGCCTAATGAGGATTAATCTGGTTCAATTGGAATTAATAAACTGTCGTAATATGCCAGCGAAAACGACGTGGCTGGAGGCAAGAAGAAGCAGTAGCAGCAGCAGCTGCTGCTGATGGTGCACTGTCCGATAGGTGGGGGCGGCAGGAGGAGGAGGGTGGTGCGATTGTTCAAGGTCCGCATGTGACCCATCGAACAAACAAAGTTTCAACATAATTACAGACTCAGACACACACAAACAGCTGATAATTGATAATGGAAATTGCAATCATTCTCTCCTGTTTGTCTTTGTTTTGTCCATTTTTAGATGGCTTCGTGGCCGGCGTGCGGTGCAATTCGCAGTACAACAAGACGCGAGGCAACCTGAAGCTGACGGGCGACTCGAAGGTGATCTGTCAGGGCTTCACCGGCAAGCAGGGTACCTTCCACAGCCAGCAGGCTCTGGAGTATGGCACCAAGCTCGTTGGCGGAATTTCGCCCAAGAAGGGCGGCACCCAGCATCTGGGTCTGCCCGTGTTCGCATCGGTCGCCGAGGCCAAGAAGGCAACGGATCCACATGCCACTGTCATCTATGTGCCCCCACCCGGCGCCGCAGCTGCCATTATCGAAGCTCTCGAAGCTGAGATTCCACTCATTGTCTGCATCACGGAGGGTGTGCCACAGCATGATATGGTCAAGGTCAAGCATGCCCTGATCAGCCAGAGCAAGTCCCGTCTCGTGGGACCCAACTGCCCGGGCATCATTGCGCCCGAACAGGTTCGTACATTGCCATGCCCGAGGCGCCCCAAAGAGATAAGCCCCAGTAAAATTGGGTGCAAAGTTCAATCGATCGATTCAGCGGTCCCTGGTTGCGCTCTCCTCTGATTGTCATTGTTTATGCGGCTTATCTCTTTGCGTCTGACTCAAGAACCGGTTTGACCTTAACTTACGATACTCTCTCTCCCTCTCTTTCTCTTCATTTCTCTTGGATGCAGTGCAAGATTGGCATCATGCCGGGTCACATACACAAGCGCGGCAAGATCGGTGTTGTCTCCCGCTCGGGCACCTTGACCTACGAGGCCGTGCACCAAACCACCGAAGTGGGTCTCGGCCAGACCCTCTGCGTTGGCATTGGCGGTGATCCGTTCAACGGCACCGACTTTATCGACTGCCTGGAGGTCTTCCTCAAGGATCCCGACACCAAGGGCATCATTCTGATCGGTGAGATCGGTGGTGTGGCCGAGGAGAAGGCTGCCGATTATCTCACGGAGTTCAATACGGTAAGATAGGAGCAAGGATGTCCATATGGTATAGGGGAACTCTTCTGATTTTTGGTTTTGATCTTTTACAGGGTATCAAGGCCAAGCCTGTGGTCTCGTTCATTGCTGGCGTTTCGGCGCCACCCGGCCGTCGTATGGGCCATGCCGGTGCAATCATCTCTGGGGGCAAGGGCGGTGCCAACGATAAGATCGCCGCCCTGGAGAAGGCCGGCGTCATTGTGACCAGGAGTCCAGCCAAAATGGGCCATGAGCTCTTCAAGGAGATGAAGCGATTGGAGCTAGTTTAGATAAGCCATTAAACAACAACAATAACTAAAACATTGAACAAATCGTGTGACGAAAGCCGAACGTACCAACAGTACGCTACTCATCCGGAGAGGAGATCTATGAAATGAAGGAATTACCCACTTAAAATTAAGCATAAAGAGTTGTCTGCCCGCTGCCAGTACGCGGCAAGCCGTAACTAAAATGAATTGTGTCGAAATCGAAAAGAATCATAAATAAATTATTGTAAAATTCCGCTAAAGTAAAGCAAAAACCAGAAAGAGGAAAATGTTGCGCTGAGAAATGTATTCCAAGCATTATGTTAACTACTGCCGTACCACCAAGTTGAACTAAATACATCCATTAATAGCTAAAACTAAATATCTCGCACCAAAGCCAAGAAATCCAAAAATTGTTCATAGCACACTCTTGCACTCGAAAACTTACGTTGCGAATTGAAATTTTGAAATGTTTACTCGAAATCCTATTGCGAATTGTATTTAAATGTATAATAAATATGCGAATTGTGTCGAATTACAGGAATCAAATGAAAATATTTTAATCGCAGATCAAATTCAGGCGCACTTTGCATTTCAGTGACTTAACAGAGGGTCTTTGATGTTAACAGCTTGCGCTAACATGCACTTTTGTAACATTATTCGATCTATCGAACACAGAGAAATTTAATATGCATTTATATCGATCGGCGACCTCGGTAAATAAAAGTGTATTTACAATAATTAAGTATATTTACGACCAACAAAACGCTTTGGCCGTATGTGCTTAAAACGTATTATGTAAGCAATCCAATCCTGGTGTTCCAGTCACACCCAACAAAACAAATCAAGTGAACTATATATTTTTCCATATATATACATTTGAAAATAACCGCCAAACTCATTTAAATACTGACATTTTTCGCTCTCAATTCGTGGTGGGTTTTCAAAATTTGCTCTCTTTTCAGAGGTGAAGAGAGCGTTTTTGTGGTGACTTTTCGTGGTGTGAGAAACATGCAACTTACGGGAACGCGTACGGAACGAAGATTCATTGTTGCGTCATTCCATACGCGTTCCCGTAAGATACATTTGATTTGTATGGGAAAAAATTCAGCAACAAGTGGAAATGAATTAGCAGCATTGTTCTACAACTTCGGATCGGAATGAGCAACAATCTGCATACCTTGGGAAAATGGATATTATGGAATAGAGATTTTGTTGGTAATTTCATGCTCCAATTAATACAGAAACTACTCAGTCTCTGTTTTAAAGATATTAACGAAATTTTGCAGCTCACGGGTTCCAATAATAGGTATCAGAACCGGGATAAATGTATTTATAAAACACAAAACATATGCATTACTGGGTAAAAAACATCTCAATCTAAGAAAACTGCATTATTAATGTTTCAATGGAGCTTGGAACAATAAATTTAACATCAATTAAAGGAAATACGGTATATAAAATTCCTTACGCATAGAAGAAACTTGGTTGACCAGCAACACTGACGTCACATTTAGTCAACATTTACGTTTTATGCTTTGGCCGTTTTTGTTTGAACCTTATTACGTAAACAATCCAATGAAAAAGAGTTCTGGAAACTAGCCAATCCTGAACAAAATTCATTGGAGAATTGCATAAAATTATTTGTTTAGGGCTGAGAGGGCCAACTAGCTAGTAATATTAAACGGAATATCAAAATCGAGCAATATCATGGTATGGCAGCCCGTAGCCACTACGAATTGCACGAGTCTGGCAGCGCCTCAAAAACGACGACACATTCGTTTTATGTTGTTTTTGTTTTAACCTTAATATGTAAAGAAACCAATAAAAAAGACTTCTGAAAACTTGCCAATCTTGTAGAAAATTTATGTATCTATCGACTAAAATTATCTGTTTAGCGCTGAGAGGGCCAACTAGCTAGTAATATTAAACGGAATATCAAAATCGAGGAATATCAACATTGAATGTTTTGAAAAAACAATCGATACTATCGTAGTAGTATCGGGCTCAAATAATTATTAAAAAACCATCGAAACCTTTTAGGAACTTGTCCATTGTAAAAATTAGATGCCACCTGTCGATTTGTTTACAAATTTGTCTTAGTATTTTATAGCAGCCAATCCAAACATATCAAAAGCGCAACGACTTTAGCTCGATACTATCATGATAGTCGCAAAAACCATCGATAGTAGAGGCTAGCTGTAAAATATCGATACTATCGATAGTGCCCATGGTTTGACACAACAACACTATTTTCCGCGGTCGCCACTGCGAGTGAAAAAGCAGCGCCAGCTGCTGCTACAAAGCACTAAACAAACTAAAAGGCCAGGCGCAAACACCGGACAGCCCCCAGCCACTAACTGCAACAATATCCAGCAGCCCCCTGCTCCAGTTTATCCGCACCGCCCCGCACGGCACGGCAGTGAAGTCAATCAATCAACAGAGAGTCGCCAGTCAACCAAACGCAAACTTACAATGGCCAGCAGCAGAACTGAAAAAGGTGAGTTTTTTCCAAGTAAAACAATAATTGTGTAGCGAAAAACTATTCCAAGCAATGAGTGCAATTGGTGTTTGCATTCTGCTGACTAATTTCGTGAGTTTAATGCGTAGAATCTTTGTCTTCTTGCGGATCGGATCGTCGGCGAGCGCCGGCTGCCGCTGCATTTTTTTTTTTGTGTTGCACCACAACATGGAGCCGAGCCCGAAAGGCGCCACTCGGTGCGGTGCGATGTGAGTGAGTTTTGAGGGCTGGAGTGGTCTCAAATTTCAGGCACTTTATTGGAAAATCTGTTCGGTATTTATGGTACGAGTCTTTATCAGAAATGTGTGTAAATTTCGATGAAAAACGATTCCAGTGGCCATATGAACCCACAAGTTTCTGTGACATATCATTATGCAGCAGCGCCCCTCAGTCACGACATCTTCTGTAACACTCTTCTTCTTCCTGTTAATGGGGCCTGCTGCGGGGCTTTATAGAAATGCTTTTGTTTGTGTTTAAAATAGATTCGAAATGGCTCTTTTGGCCTGCGTCCGCCATTGTCGGCGTTTTTCGAGTGGGTTTTTATTGAAAATCTATTTTGCGAATCATCCGACCAGCCTGGCTATAGCCGCCGCCAGATCGTACTCCTAGTCGCTCCCTCCTCCTTGCCTTTTCATTTACATTGGTGGCGTAGCGATCATGTCGTCAGTTGGATCTCTCTCGCCCTCTCTCTTTCTCTCTGTCTTGCGGCAAACCCCACACTAAACCCCGGGCAAGGGTATGACATTAATTTGTGGGCTAGAGTATAGCTGTAACTGTGAAAAAAAGGGGGAAAACAATGCAGATTTTGTACGAGCGTGCACTGCTTGTAAGGTATGAATGAACTGCTTTACGGCAGAAATACACTGCTTTTTAGATATGATTGCGCTTTCAGGAATTTATGAAAGTTTTATTCACTTACAGTAAGCGCTATTAAATTTGGGCTCTTTCGGACTTTACGTGAGAAATTTATTTATTTTTAAAGAAAAAAAGAGTTTAATACTTCAGTGATTTGTGAAAATAAATGCCCATATGGCGGGTATTTAAATATTTCCAATATATTTGTAAATTAAAACTACAGACCTTTCTAAAGAGTATACAGGACCTTGTTATTGATGAATGCGAATAATCAAGTGAAATATTTGGGGAAAAATACTGGAGAGGTATCTAGAGGTATTTGTGGGAATCAGCATTTTTGTATTCACCGATAGTCCAAACAAACTTTTCATATTGTAATTTAATATGTTTTTTGCATCATTTGATCGATTGTCGCCGACTCTTTTAAGCTACATAGCTACTCTAATGAACTCTTATGGGATCACAACCGAATGATGACGATGATTATAAAGTTCTAGTGCTATAAACAAAATTCTGCGTCGTCGTTGTTGTTGTTGTCGTCTTGGATTTGATTTGTTCTTGTTGTTTAATTTTTTTTCTGTGTTTTTTTTTCGCTCGGATTCGCTTCGTTCGTTCGATTCTTCTGTGTGAAACACACACAATATTTTTGACTTAAAGAAACATTTTTCAACAGAGAGAATGTTGTGTAGGAATTTGTGTAAATTAATTTATTGCCTTTGTGTTCATGCCATTTGCTATTTATTTCTGTTTTACGAGTATTAAACAATTTCTAAAATACATTCTAGAATTTGGCATCCTCCTCTTATTCTGCTGTTGTTGTTGTTGCTTCTGCTGCATCTTATGAATAATCGTCTGTGATAAGAGCAGACGACACATCACATCCCCATCCCCATCACATCACATCACATCGGTTACGCCAGTTTTCGTTTTGATTTGGCTCCAAGCCCCAAGGCGTGTCCCGGTCCCACATCTGCCGCAGACAAACTTGCGTTGCCTAGCGAAATTCTATTCCGTCATGGGGCGACGGAGTGCTGTATGGCAGGTTGCGAACAAGGGACCGACAACAGCAGCCACCTGCCTAGAGGCCTTCACCGTGCAGATGCTTTTTGCATATTTCATAATTCCCGCAGGTGACTTTGGCTACGTGGCATGAATCTCCTTTTGCACAGGTCGGCACAGGGCGTAGGCGTAGTCGTAGGTCCTAGTCCTAGTCGTAGACAGTCTTTCCAACAATCAAATGGCCCCAAATGCTGGCTCCCCAGTGCCCCTTTGTGTATGCAACAAGAATTTTTCATATGCCAAATGAATGGCTATGGCAGGGGCAGGGGGTTAGGACGGAAAGTTGGCGCTGTATTTATTTAAAATTTTTATTCCCGATTTGGTTATTTTATCTTGCCATTTACAGGACATCTTCTAGGCTAGCTTGAGCAACTTAAGCTTAGGTTTGGGATAGATACCCTGTAAAGGAAGCTTAGGGATAGCTCAAGGAACAGCAGTGAGCATGGGGTAGATCTGGAGAGCTTAATCTGTATAAATAGCTGATATTTTATTTTACCTGATATTTGTCATCAATTTTGTGGAGCACACTCCTCTGAGTGGCAGGTTGTAAAATCTGCAATTTTAAAGAAATGAAAATTAGATTTAGTTCCATATTAAATTATGATGTTGTCCACCAAAATTCATTGCAAAGGAATAATTATTATAGCCGTAAGGAAAAAAAGTTCCCATCCCTTTCAGCAACTTCCTCTAATGTTAATTTGATACTGAGAAATCCGAGTATCGAGCATCTTAAAGATCAAATACGTGGCTTTAACTTTCTTCACCTTTTATAGGACATTATTCTAGTCTTACCCTCCCTCCATGTGGCTGTCTGTTGTGCTTAGCTTAGCTTTTTATGCTCTTGTCTCTCAGTGAGTGAGTGAGTGTGCCGCAGGACTCGAAATGTTGCTCTCGGGCCTGGCCTTAAAAGTTTTCGCCATGTGTCAGCTGAAAAGCGGAAGA